CTTTAATCATTTTAAACGAACGCTTATACGAAATCTCTAATGATCTAATTCAGATGCTACTTTATCTTATTTTCTCAAAATTATAAATAATTGTTTTGTACTAGTGCGTACATAGACATAAACAGATATGATAATCACCCAACCTAATTACTCTATACTCATTAATTTTATTTTTGAGTATGTATACCAAGTATGACTAAGCAAGTTGGCTAACTTGACCGAACTAACATTTAACCATCCGAAAAAATAAAGCAGTATGGAATCCGGCGTAATCTCCTGGTGAGATCTACCTAAAAATATTTACTGTCATTGGTATTTCACGCCATACAAAAATTAATAAACGAATATTTATTTATTTATTTTTATAAGTATTATTAAGCTCCATCGCTAACTTTTATCCAAAATTTATGGTTGGATATAGCAATTATAAAGAGTTGCATACATTTGCAGGAATGAATTAGTAATTATCTTCAATATAAGAAGGTTTCGATACTATCAGTAAATCTTGATTGAGAAATTAATTACCCTAGATCATGTAAGGTTATTTAAGGAATTATAAGTAATTTATTCATAAATGAGTTCAATAGGCCTTACAATAACACCAAAGTTTACTTTGTCTTGCCTCCCACAAGCTTGGCTGAATTAGAATGGACTGCAGTTTCGACCTCATCTAGGTCGCATCAATATTGCACCCGTAGCCTTTTAGTAGAGTTCATGTGGTAACATCACCACGTTACTCGTGACACGATGTCGAATCTTCATGAGGATGCTGAGTAGATCTATTCGAGGTCATAAATTCAGTGCATCCTGGATGAGATAAAACTTAGGAGGCAAGGCTACGCGAAATTTAATGTTATCGTGAGGTCTACTAATTACATTGTGGGAAAAACTCACCTTACACGACCTAGGGTGACTAAGTTTTAGATGAAATATTAACTCTATTCCTTCTCATATGGACAAATAAAATTCACCTTTAAGAAATAGCTAAAAAACTGATAAAATCAGGTGAAAATATAAATAATCATCTATAGATATTTGTGATCATACACACTAACCGGCATCCTCGCAAATTTCCCATCTATCCACAGTTTCTCCGGCCTATCCTCAAGAAAACGTCCATCCACAGTCGGGGACCAGGCCGTGGTGATCCAACCAGGCCGATGTATTCTTGTCGTACCGGCTGCTGCAGCCAGCTCATCTGCCGTTCTCGAGCGCAGGCAGGCCAACATATCGCGGGCTCTATTGATGCGCTTATGGCCAGTTTGAGCTCGATGCTGGTTGTAAGAGGACTCATACTTGTCAGATTCAGCTGAAGGAATCACATCACAGCCTACCTATCATAAACGAGAATAAATTGGAACGTATAGTTTCAAATAATATTTCTAACTCTGCCCAACGCACATTCGGAACCTAAAAGGAAATGTAAGGTGTAAAAGAAGACTCATTGTAACTTGTCTCTTTCCTATAAATGTGGGCAAATCACAAATGGTGCGTTCACTTATCGAATAAAGAGAATGGGAGATGTAGAAGAATTACTGCTGAATCTAACTGAAAATAATTAACTATTAAAAGTTAATCATCTATAATACTGACACCTCGAAGAGTGTTTGGGCTACTTGCTGAATTTGAAGAAGGGGAAAACTGATTGGGTTACACTTTAATACTTTTTACTTAATACAATTAAATAGTTTAAGATAATATCACATTTTATCCCATTGCCAAACCACTCTTTCATAAAGGGGTGATGGAATGATATAATAAATTCTACCACCATGTCAAGACAGCCGTTTTAACTTTTACATTGAATGGCCCCGTTACTGGCGTCGTCAGGGGCCCTAATATAGCTCTTATTACCTATTTTTCGACTTCTCTCATGATATATTGTCGCCAATGTATTGGAAGTAATAGTATATTCACCTTCGAAGGGCCCCCTGAAAGCTCTGCCCAAATACGCGCAAGGCAGTTTTTTATATAAGCAATCTCCGAAAGAATGAGGCCCCTGAAAATATGGTGCTTAAAGTTATCAAGGCAAATTAAAGCCGATGCCGTAGAATACAAGAGCAATTGAGCTCACGAAAATGTATATTTTTAGTCTCCCCTTGCCTGTGTTTTCATCTACTATTAAAAAGAACTGTATTCACCCTAGGTCGCATACGATTATGAGGGACAGACAGCCGATTTTCCCCATTGTGATATGAGTAGACCTAACATTTTCATTGATTTTCACATAGCCATGCTTCCAAGAAGGTGCTCTCATCATTAGTGGATTGGAGTTACGACCTCGCATAGGCCTCATCAGCACTCACAACGGGAATCGAGTCCATGTGGTGCCGCATATAATCTTGATAGGTTACTACTTCGCCACATTGACACAAGTGTCCCTGGGTCACAGGGCAGATGAACATTTCTAGCAAGGCCAGACCCTTACCATGCCAAATATTTTTTTGTGTTTATCAATCCAATCGACTACATTACTCATAATCGTATTGAGTAGGCTTCGAAACTATTAGTGTTTCTCGAGAGTTGTGCTAAAATGCATGCTTTGGTAATTCAAATTCTCCATCTATAATGCAGAAAAGCTCGTGAGATAAACTAATAATGACGGTAGCCTGTTCGAGGCAAAAAATACAAAATAGAAACACCTGAGCAACTACTTATTAAAGAGAAATAGTAATATCTTGCTTGGTGAGCCAATTGCCATGAGTAGGAGGCCGCTTCTTTGGGTTGCCTGGCGAATCCGGCCTGCATGGCGTCGGAGCCAGACATGAGCCAAACGCGGTTGAACAAGGGCCTGGGCAATCGGCGTCCAGAAAGCCGACTGAGCAGATGCAATGTGACATCAGCTGCGCCTGAGCCTTGTCCAACCAAAGTGATCTGATTGTAAGTGAAGAATATGCAATTGAAAAAAGGTCCTAAAATCGGGGCAAAAAGGGTTAATGAATCCCTCCGCCAGCAGTTCCCCTCGAAGGCGGGTTGAACAGTCTTTTTTAGCAGTGCCGAAAATGAGGTGAATAAAACTCGTCTGATCGCGTTTTCACAAGTTCTACTTGTCGTCACGGCGACTTATATTAAGACATCTTATCGAAAGTACTATTCCAGAGTAGGGCCGTGGATCGGTACATTTTCAGACGTTTCGCCGGCATCGTCAGTGAGTCTAACCATTCTTAGCACCAAGCTACAACTTGTCAGAGAGACAAGTGTAGTCCATTCCTTGTCCAACTTTCTACGGAGCATTTTGTTACCAATACTAACAAGCCTCATTGATGATGCTGAATATGGTGCAAAACGTCTGTAAATGTGCCAAGTCCACTGTTCAATGCTAAGAATCATCATAACTAGTATAGAAGAGGACTTCGAACAAGGTGCGTCCAACTAGGCCATCATGATAACACGACAAAGTTTCCAAAGCGAGGTCAAATCACTTCAACACAGCGAAATGAGAATGCTACCAAAAGGGAGCCAACAACATCTTGATCTTCATTCATGCAAGTGGAATAAAGCCTGCACAGCATAAACGAAGGATGATACACCCTCAAAAGCATTAAGTTGCCCTGCAATTCGAGAATACTACTACTATGATCAGTTGGGCCTGAAAAAGAAACTTTACCGGACCTAATGATATCGCAAAACGGGCATGATATCGATCAACACTCTCGCCTCTAGACGGCATTTGGGCGAGTTTAAAAATGACGTCAAATCGACCCTCTCACGCCTTAAAATTACTCGACGGGAAAAACTTCCCATCAGAGCCTCTTGCGGGCACATTTCGATGCCTCCGAGGTCCAGAAAGTCCACGTTTATTTAGTCCAACCCTTACAATTATTCGGTATAGAATGCAGCCATAGAACCAACTCCTGAAGTTCCCCTGCCTCCGTCCACCAAGATAACCCAAACTGACGAAATAAATAGGCCTTCTTGCAATGCAATCCATGCCCTTGTCCTTCCTCTTCTCGCCTTATGAGTTGTGAAGCAACTCTGGCAAAAGAGAGATTTCTCTTTTATTTCCACTGTAGAGTATAGTTTTCTCATACTGTCACTTCTAAATGCCAAAATTAAACCAAAATCTATTTTATCTCCAGGTCTTCTTTACTCTGAACTCTCCATCCCCACTTTTTCCAACTGTAGCTGTTATTTTCATTATTTTACGGGCATAACAATCTCATAACAATGATACCGCTTGTAAATATCCTTAATTCTTTGTGCGTCGGCCATTCAAATCTTGCCACTGCACCGAGCTTATGTTTGAGCTTAACAGATTGGGACCTCTTAAATCAATCAGAAACAAAAATTCAAATCATACAAAAGAATGACGTACACTTCAAAGACTTTAACTAGTTTGCGGCTACTGATATTTGCTCTATAGCCATGTTTATCTTTTACCACAAATCCATTT